TTGGATAAAAAATAATGCTGTATTGCTTAAAATCACTTCGTAAATAAGCCATTTTTTTCCGTAAAATGTAAAGGATAAAAAGTGATTATTGTGGGTTACCCTTAAGAGATAGACATATACCATCACGGACTTTTTGTTGACCTTTTTAAGGTGTACAGTACTGTAGTACATTATGTACATTGAGTATTAAGTAGTTCAGTGGGGGAATGGGATTGTAAGTAATGGGTTAAACCCCATTACTATCAATACACTTTCTCAGGTCAACCTTCATCTTGCCTTTTTATCCTCACCTTTGCACCTCACATTGCAATCACATCTCGTTGAGTTCTCGTTGGTGAGGTTATCACCCGATATGTGATTGCATTTCACACAAAAGTCTAATCTTATAATTTGTCACTATCTATGTCAATATTTTTAGAAAAACCGGAAAAATTATTGTACTCCGGGTGGTCGGGAGGTTAACCATTATTATCCAATTTTCCCGGGCGATCCGGGGGGGTTGGCAACTCTTTTTTTTATACCACTGAGGTGGCAAACAAGCATATGGCCCACCTGATGGTAAGTTACCGTAGCCTATGAACACCTGCAATACCAGAGGTATTACGCGTGCGTTGCCGACCCTGAAGAAACCTCTTTACCCCTTTTTTGAAGAACCCCATGCTGTAGTCTCTTGGGAAAACCTTGGCAGGGAGCTCATTCTACAACCTGTGTGTTCGTGGGAGGAAACATCTCTGAAACCGCGCTGTACGCGACCATTGAGGTTGTAGGACATGAGGATGAACTCCCTGTCGATGGCGAGTCGTACGATGGTAGAAAGTGGCTGTGGGCATCATATTGAACAATTCCTCTGAGCACAATCCATTGTAGAGGCGGTAGAACACGCAGAGTGAGGCAAAATCTCTCCTAAGACTTAAGGGTTCGATACCGCTTGTGAGCTTGGGATTATCGACAATTCTCATAGCTCATCGTTGCAACGAGTCGAAAGGTTCAAGCTGGTATTTAGGTGCTCCGGCTCCTAAGTGACAGCAATACTCCATATGGGGCCGGATTTGCGATTTGTAGAGCATTAATCGCTGATCCGGCGTGAAGTAATGCTTCGCTCTATTGAGCACACCGAGTTTTAACCCTATTTGTGTCACATAATTTTGTGCAATAAATTTAGAATTTTATAAAGTCCGTATTGTTTTCTATTAAGGTGGTTGATTTCTAAACAAAAATATACACCAAATATTAGATGGCGTTAGAATCGAGATTTGTAGTTTTTATTTATTATATGGTAAATAAAGATAATTTAAAGCAAAATTTCTAAATTTGCGGACGCTTATATAATTTTTTTACCCATATAGTAATAATTTATCATCTTTCTTATTTTTATTCTCCTGTGTTGTAAAATTAAAAAAAATACACACTAGGTTTTATAATGATATTTACCAGAGGGAGATTTTGTACAAAAGTCGATTGCTTGGGTACCTCTGTCCCATTCGTGTTTTTACCGTGAAGCACTTGTGTTTACATGGCTGTGTTTCGGTTTGAAGGGTGGGATATGGCGTGAATTTACAGGGTACAGAGGAATAACACCTAAGTCCTCAGGAATGGTAACGCATGGGGGGTATCATGAGCGAAACAGTATACTCTGTTATGTCCATGGTACTACTCATGTCTATAGGTGACGGTTACCACTTTCCATCAGGTGGGCCGTTAGCTTGTTTGCCATTCTAAGTTGTATAAAAAAAAAATACTCATTTCAGACGAAAATGCTTCTATTTTTTTAATTAATTTTAATTTACCTAATTATTTTCTTTTCATATGTAGTACACCTGTCATTCTTTGTATTTTTAAGCAAAAAGTGCCTAGTAAATGATGCATTCGCGGAGTGTTTACTCTATTTACTATATACACGTCCTCGCTTTGAAGGCTGTTAATCCATGTCGTAAATGTTATCTAACAGTAATTGCGGACAGATAGAGCATTTTCCTGTTGTAAGATGTTTCTAATTATGATGTTTTCTAAAAATCTAATATATAAAATTCTCGTGTCGTGGTGTTTGTTACTAAACCCCTCTGAAACGGCTTTACCGATTTTTGTGTGTATATCGCGTAGGTTTGAGAATCGTTCAACATCTATTTTTCATACCCCTCAAGGATAAGGGTGACGTATCCCAAAATATTTTTTTTATTTTTTTGACAAAATTTTTTATTTTTATTTTATTATGATTTAGCATTGAAAAATACATACAAATTCAAATTTTCACGCTTTTACAATCAATCCCTGTTTTTTAATTACGATTTTTATATGCCGCAATAGGGTTGCAAAATGACAATCGAATATAATAATTGTAGTACGATAAATTTTCATGTATAGTTCTAGAAATAATGTATATGGTAAACCAACGTTTGCCGAGTCAGGTAGTAATATATAATTAAAATGATGCTGATGGTAGCAGTCGTTATTGTTCATTGCTGAACATAGGCCTTCCCTATAAGTTGCCAGTACTTGTCACGCTTGGCAACCGCAATTAGGCTTTGATAGTGTTTTAAGATGGACGCTGCTGCTCATCCTCATGGGGGGTTTTGCCATTTTTTTGTAAGCTTTTTATTTTTATTTATTTTATACAAAAATCCACAGCTCTTAAAACACAACTTACATGCTAAGTCTCTTAAAAATACAGCTAATAATGGATTTTATTTATATAAACGAAAATTATAATTCCAAAACGAGGTAGACAAGTTAGAGTGGGTGTGTGCAAGTAATATAAGTGCATGTATGAAAGAAAACATGTATAATAATGAGTGTCTATAAAGTCAGGTTAATTGATATATAAAATAATTAAAATCCATGTTGCTACAGTTCAGATATGGACAGCAATGATTAAGAATACAATTTCATGGTAACCAATTGTAAAGAGGTATAAATGTATGAGTGGGTAAGATAGTGTAGTGGGGAGAAAGGGATTGTTAGTATTGGAGACTTAAAATCCCAATAATACAATCTAGCAATATACTCAACTAGGTCGACCTCCTCGTGGTTCCCCCTGGTTAATTCCTGATGAATTCATCATGATGGGTTAACTGACCTGTTTTCATTCTTATCGATCACCCTTTATTGGTGTTTCGCCAGCGTATCCCATTAGCGTAGGCGGGGTTACCATTCCATTTTCACCCATCAAAAAAAAATACTGTAGTGTAATAGGTAAATCAGGAAAATACTGAGTAGATAATGATAGTGCAAAGTAGAGTTGTGTTACTCGTCTAGTCGGACTTTATAATATTACCTGTTTCTTTGATAACATAATACTATGTATGTTCTATTTACTAGTATTATCGTATTATATCCTTTACAATGTTTATATTATGTCTACGTTTCATAATCTATGTCACATGACAATAACACTAGACTATACGGGAGATTGCCGTGTGGTCCTGGCATAGAATAAACCATCCCTTTCTTGTAGGTGTCGTAAAAAGCAACTAAGGGAGGGCGAGAGATGGATAGCAACGGTCCGCTTAAAACATCTCTAAAGCGTAACTGCTGTTGCCAATCCGCCTGCATAACGTGGCAAGTACTGGCAAAAAAATTGTTCAATTATTTTTAGGAGTTAATTGGTAATTTCTAAAAAAGATTAAACAAATTTTACTCTTATTTCTTGGGTGCGTGGCATACTACCGTGCATCCCGTTCATTCTACCTCGTGCATCTAGATTATGGGATGAGCTCTTCTCTTCAGAGCTTTTCAGATACCCTTACAATATAATATAGAGGCTTTTTGAAATGCCTCATTTCAAAAAGCGTACCTATGAACATTTTAAAGGCTGGAAACGCACAAGCAGCTCCTCTCGTGTTGCAGGAGCTCATAGCCAACGGTAGCTGTTTTCCATCAGGTGAAATGTCTGTTAGTTTGCCTTCTCAACAATAGAAAAAAAATCTGACTTTGTTATTGCAAGGTTCTTAAGTATGACGTGAGTCTGAAGATTGACATTTACTATTATATAAAGCGCCATGTCATCCGACTGTCATCTTTTTTTTTAATAACACGTTTTACGGCTCTGGAAACTTGTCCTTATGAGCCAAGATGCCATATTTTTAAATGCATTCAGTCACTTCACCACAAATTACAGAAATACACATCGCTTCACACTACAACTTTTTCACTGTATTTTCGCGCACTTATCTCTACGCTAGTGCCCTCTGGTGACACGTTTCTTTTTGTTTCTAGGTCGCCTTCATTTTACTATGTAAGGACCTTATTATGTAGTTTTTTACTGTATATATTAGAATAGACATTGAAAATCATACTGCGAGTTATAGTTAACCTTGAGGTCAACAGGTGCTTGTGTATCTTCAAAGAAAGTACATGTTTTCATATTTTAATTGAATAAGTATGTACCTATATTGTGTATTGTTTGTAGTAAGGTAACGTTCTGTTTATTTTGTTGGCAATTTATTTTGCAATTGTCACTTATGTATAAAGTTTAGGCATTAGGTTAGGATCAAATTTTGTAAATTCACAAATTTACCGTCGTCAGGGTCGTCAGGGTAGTCAGTTTATGTATCATTGCGTACATATACACATCGTCATTATCATATCAGCTTTTAACTATCGATTGCCGAGGAGGCTTAGTTTAGAGGGTTTTGCCAGTAGTTGCCACGCTTGGCGAGTTGGCAATTGCAGTTTGGCTTTTGATAATGTTTTAAGAGGGACACTGCTGCCAATTCCTTGCTCTCCCGAGGCCTCCTCCATGGAATGGAGAAATGACAGGTGAGAATGAAAAGGCATGTCAGTTAGGACATCGTGATGAATATATCTGGGATTCAGCACGATGGTTTCCACAGGGACCACGTGGAGGTTGACCTGTTAGGGTATATTGTTAGCAATGGAACTAGTAGTCTGCATTACTAGTAATCTCTTCCCCTTTCGTCAGCTTATTTGCCAATCTAATAAGTTACATAAAAAACAATGTGTGTGAACAATTAAACTAAACGTAATGCATCTCTCTCTTCCAGGAAAATGCAGAAACAAAGAAAACCTACACTTATCTGCAGCTGCAGAAGTATATGGCCACATTTGCCACGTCCCTAGTGAAGAAGTTCGGTTTGAGACCGGGCGATGTAGTCGGCATAATGTTGCCGAATTGTCCCGAATTCCCTGTGGTGGCGTTCGGATCGCTGCAGGCAGGGTGCGTCGTAACAACTATCAACCCTATTTATAAAGAGTGTAAGACTTATTTTGATATTAACCGTAGAAAAATCCAAAGAATATCCTGTTAATCGACCATGATATAGGCCATGGTACTGCTCATGTCTATAGGCGACGGTTATCACTTTCCATCAGGTGGGCCGTCAGCTTGTTTGCCATTCTAAGTTGTATACAAAAAAAGACTTAACTAGACCCAACATCTATTGTTTACTGACGAAACCCTATGAGTTCTATCAATAATATACTTCTTGAAATCTCAAATGAAACAACATATTTCACACAATTATGTATTTTTTATATTATTAGGAGAAGGAAAACATAAAATTGAAAATTATTCTTAGTAACTACTTAGTTATATTAGTGTGTGCATTGCATCTATATTCAGCTAAATTAGCAAAATATTATATTTTTTGCCTCGCCACGATCGACTCAACTAATAGTCGCAATCGACTGGTTGGCCTCTCTGATATAGGCCATTATAGGCTGTTTCCAATTCTTCATTCAAATCGAAATTATTTAAATGGGATATAAATTTAAATATCTCCATAATACATAGCTGATTGCCTTCTAATTGACTATATTTTTATCATTTAGTTTTCAAAAAATATATATTACAAGTTTATAATGTACGTAGCTATATGAAGGTGAAAGAATTTTTAAAATGGATTGAATAGTTTTGTGATTCTCTCTCTTCGGCCATTTCATTACTGAAGGTCGTGTCCTTGAAAGGTGCCTGTTGCCTCTCTTATGATGTTAGTCCATTTTGTCCGGTCTTCAGCTTCTCGCAGGGCAGCTGCAATTGACAGTCCCGTAACGGCGGTTACTTGGTCCGACCATCGACTAGGCGATCGCGTGGTCTTTTTCCTTCTATCTTGCTTACAACCATTAGTTTGTTCAGATTGTCGGACTGTTTTGTGATTATTACATTATAAACAAACAATATTTTCTCTTTATAATATTACTATATATTGATATTTTGATCATTAATAACATAGACTCAAATGCTCAAAGTAAGTAATGACGATAAATAATTAAGGATTCTCTTCCACAAAAAGAAACCGTCTTCAAATGTGCCAAAACAAGTTGTTTTGATCTAAAAACTAAACTACTGTATAGATTTTTATAAAATTTCTATGGGACCCATCTATAAGTATATCCTTTCACGGTTCAGTGGTTTTGATATAACAGACACATTTCCCTTCACTGCTCTGCTCCTATTGATCGTAGCGTGATGAAAAGTATACTACAACCTGCCCAGGAGTATGAAGAATAATTGTACCAAGTTTCGTTAAAATCCGTTTTTGTTTCTATAACGAACATACAGACAGACAGACAAAATTTTTACTGATTGCAGTTTTGTCATCAGTATCGATCACTAATCACCCGCTGATTGTTATTTTGTAAATATATTTCATGTACAGATTTGATCTCTCTACAGATTTATTATAAGTATAGATTTACAAAATTACAAGTCCAGTTTCAATTAATCATGTAATTTCCCATTGCAAGTTTGTCATACGAGTATTTTTTATATTACATAATTATGATTCATACCTGTGATTATCGTTTCAAACAATTAGATATCGTTTAAAGGAAATATCTATCTATCTATGGTTTAATTATCTTATCTGTAACGTGTAATAGGTATTATATAGAAGTATTACAGAGATTAGATTAAGATACTTTATCAGTAGAAATTTTGAAGATTAAATAAACACATTTATTACAATGCAATTTATGAATATGGAACAGCAGGTGGTTTTTTTTTTGTAATGGATGATAATGGAGTCGTAATCCCGTTTGAATTATTGGTATACGCTGACGGGGCACCAGTCAATAATGATAAATGAGGGAGAAAGCAGATCATTTAGCCTATCGTGACAAATTTGTTAAGAATTAACCACGATGGTGTGTGCTCCTTTTTTAATTTAGACTAGAGGGAGACTGTACAAAAGTTGTTTGCTTGTGTACCTCTGTCCCATTCGTGTTTCTATCGTGAAGCAGTTGTTTGCATGGCTGTTGTTTGATTTGAAGGGTGGGATGTGGCAGTGGATTTACAGGGTACAGAGGAATAATACCTGAGTCCTCAGGAATGGCAACGCATGGGGGTATCATGGGCGAAACAGTATACTCTGTTATGTCCATGGTTATTGCTCGTGTCTATAGGCGACGGCTACCGCTTTTCATCAGGTGGGCCGTCAGCTTGTTTGCCATTCTAAGTTGCATAAAAAAAAGACAATTTTAAGAGTGAACCCTATTACAGCAGAAAGATTAAAATATTTTTTTAGATAATTTTAAAAGATAACGTTAACGGTATCACTACATAGTATAAAACAAAGTCGCTGTCGGTGTCTGTCCGTCCCTATGTATGCTTAAATCTTTAAAACTACGCAACGGATTTTGAAGCGGTTTTTTTTTAAATAGATAGAGTAATTCAATGGGAAGGTTTATAAGTATAATATATGCATAATAAAGTAGAGGAACACTGATAATTGCAGAGGTTTCTAATGAGATGTGATGTAATGTGTACCCGTGCGAAGCCGGGGCGGGTCGCTAGTAAACCGTATAAAATTTATCCTTCGTTCTGAAAAAAGTTATTCCTATATAGTTATAATATTTATATTATCATTTGACTTAAAGAAAAGGTGGTCCTCGTTTCTGTGGTACTTTTTTTTTGTAAAACGATTTATAAGATTCTTTTTTCATTTGAAATACAAAAACATATTTTTTTTTTAGTTTATTTGGGATAACAACGGCGTTTTACAAAATTAAATTCATATTACACATTTAATAAATGCTAGCCAATTATATTTATCCGCAGAAATATACTTACATATTGCTTCCATAGACATTTTATCAAAATCAGTTTAGTATTTTAGTTTTGATTTGAATTCAAGATATTCACAATTCAATCCAGAGATTCTGGGAGGTCGAAGATTTGCCTTCAGATTAAAATATCTATTCAATAGATGAACAATTTTATGAATTCCATTATACTAAAAATACCCGTCGCTTACCTGATGGTCGCTTCACTGTCATGATGCCACTGAAGGAAAATCCTGAGCAAGTACTTGGCAATTCATTCCCATTTACTGAAATGCATTGTTTGAGACTGTTTTCTTAGAAAAAATCCATAATTACTCCATTATGTGGTACATGTAAAAATCTGTAAAGCCTAACCGCGGTTTCCAATCCGCCTGCCAAGCGTGGCAACTACTGACAAAACCCCCCAAGGCGGAGATTTATATTAGATTAGCAGTGGATAGTTAAAGGCTGATATGATAAAAATGTAGGTCCGAAGAGTCAGAAATAAAATTCCTCCTTTACAAGCGATTTAACCTTTATAAAATATATATATATATATATATATATATATATATATATATATATATATATATATATATATATATATATATATATATATATATATATATATATATATATATATATATATATATATCTTTTTTTTATGGGTGAAAATGGTATGGTAACCCCGCCTGCGCTAACGGTATACGCTTGCAGAACACCAGTGAAGGGTGATAGATGAGAATAAAAACAGGCCAGTTAGCCCATCATGATGAATTCATCAGGATTTAACCATGATAGTTTCCAGGGGGAACCGCGAGGAGGTCGAACTGGTTGGGTATATTGCTAGCAATAGGATTCTCAGTCTCCATTACTAACAATCCCTTTCCCCCATATACATATGTATAGTCATTAGTCATTTCCGTTTTAGTTATCTATCATTAAAAGTATAATTAAGTATATGTTTAATCATTTAACTTATTTATAATTGTAAATATTAATATAGATAAGAACAAACAAATATTGATAGCATTAAATGCACTTGCCGCGATGACATTCGAGTGCATTATAATAATACATACGTTAATTAACGACATCACATCTCATTAATTGGCCATTAATTTTCTACTCTTGTCACTGCACATGGAACTAATTGAGGTGGAAGTAATTAGTTATATATAACAAATAAGATTATCCTTAGAACATCATTAATTCATAAATTTCTCACTAATATTATAATTGTGAGTTAGTTTTTTTTTATAAAACTTTGAATGGCAAACAAGCTGACGGCCCACCTGATGGAAAGTGGTAACCGTCGTCTATACACATGAGCAGTACTATGGACATAACAGAGTATACTGTTTCGCCCATGATACCCCCATGCGTTGCCATTCCTGAGGACTCAGCTGTTATTCCTCTGCACTACAGGGCGAAAAGGGATGATTAGTAAATATTGTAAAATATACCCTATCAGGTCAACCTCGTGAATCCATCGTAATTGATTTATCGTAGAATTCGTCACGATGGGCTAACTGGCCTGCTTCATACTCACCTCTTATCCCTCACTGGCAAGCGGGGATTTTTTTAATGCGTGGAAATGGAATGGTAACCACGCCTGCGCTATCGGTTCACGCTGCTGGGGCACCAGGGGTATCATGGGCGAAACAGTATACTCTGTTATGACCATGGTACTGCTCACGTCTATAGGCGACGGTTACCACTTTTCATCAGGTGAGCCGTCAGCTTGTTTGCCATTCTAAGTTGTATATATATATATATATATATATATATATATATATATATATATATATATATATATATATATATATATATATATATATATATATATATATATATATATATATATATATATATATATATATATATCAACTTTAATAATTTCTGTATGTAAACTGTAAATGAACACAGAATAAGAAAATATCAAAATACAAGCAAAATTGGATTCATATAGCTTAACTCGAATTTAATTTTGAAAAGGAATTAACGTAAAGGATTTTTTGTCTTCAGACAGATTTTAGAGGAGACTCGTACGTTGATATCGATGTATGTGACGCCCCCCGTGTCTACTCCGCCCCTGTAGACTTTTAATGCCGGCTCTCGCATGTTTAAAACATTTAATCCGATATATACAACATGCATATCTTAATCTCTTGTCAGATACCGGGTATTAGTATAAACACTTGGATAATCTC